ACAAATACTTGCATAATAAGCAAAGGAGAGGTTGCAGTAACACAGCAAGAGGGGCAGAGGAGATTGGCGAAGCACATTGTCGCTTAACCAGTCATCTGAACCGAGGCTTTTAATAAGCCTCCCAGTCCTGGAAAATACGAACAGCCCTTTATCACACACACATCTTTGTTCTCTAAATTTCTATTCTTGAGGTTAAGACTCTGGATCTTAGAGTTACCCATGATAGTATTATATCTAAGGGACACCAGGTCTGCCCATTCCAGGAAAGGCTGCTCCAAGTCAGATTCTTCCAGGTATGGTTGCTGCACATCAAAGGGCTTCCAGAAGCAGCCACCAGGCATCCCCAGTGACAGGGAGAGGGATGAAGGTGCTCTGGTCGCTGAGCTCAGCTGAGTCACTCGGTTGCTTTTATATTCTTTGGCCAGTTGTATTTCTGCTGCCTTTTACATTCCATTCTCTGGCTCTGGAACCAGGTCTTACTTAATCTGTAGCTATGGTTCAGGATGTTGGAAAGTTCTTGCGTCTGCTGGAGGCGGAAATATTTCTGTCTCTGAAATCTCTCATTGAGAACACAGACCAAGGCCTGTGAGGATCTGGGCCTGTGAGCAATGGGTCTCACCTTCTGTTTCCAGACCCGGACTTTCTCCTTCTTCTCTGTGCTGCCTCTGCAGAGGTGGGTAGGTTTACGCTGGGACTGGTGAAGGATCAGGGCTGTCCGGAGCAAGCAGACCCATGGAGGGAGGAAGAGCAGAGACAGCCTCCCTGTGGAGTGTCTCAGCAGATGACATTTGGCAAGGAGGCCTAGTTTTCCTCAGGCACTGGTCAAGGTTTCCTAGAATTGGGTGCTTCGGGGCAGGGCAGGCTTTGGGGACAAGCCGAATCCACACTCTTCTTGCTTTGCAGCAACAGGAGCCAACCAGCCCAAGCGAGCCCAAGTATAAACAATTTCCAAGTTCTTTGTAGCACGTGTATTTCTACCCCAGCCTGTACTCATCATCAACATTCATATCCAAGCTACCATCCAGTCCCGTAACCCAGGCCATTTTTTGAGTGGCACAAATGGGTGACCAGAAGGCCATGCGGGTGTCTGCTGTGCAGTCCTTTGGTTCCAGCAAGATTTCTTTCCAGACTCAGGCGCCGCACCCGGGCCTCCAGGCCCTGTAACTTCTGATTAGGTGCTGAATCTGCTTTTGCCTGCACCTTCTGCTTGTTATCACAGTCTAGTGCACCCAGTGCAGTGAACGTTCCTGAAAAATCCCTGTGGAGGGGGAGGGGCCGTGGTCAGACGGTGGGCTCTCGGGGAAGAGAAGAACTGAGTTGGAACCACGGCCCCCCCGCCTGGCGACAGGCCTTTGGCACGGGCTTACCTATAAAAGCCAGCTGCCCTTCTTTGCTAAACTTTAGATCAGTTGCGTTCATTATCTATTTTTTTTACAAAAATGTCTTATTATGGAAAATTTCAAACATACACAAAAATAGAGACGATATTAGAACGCATATCTGGGAGTCACCAGCTTCAATAAGTATCAATTTGTGCCTTTAAAAAATTTATTTTTATTTTTATTTTTGATTTTTAGAGAGAGGGTAAAGGAGGCAGAGAGGAAGAGAAATACTGACTGGCTGCCTTCCATACGAGCCCCGACCGGGGCTCTAACTTGCGACTCCGGCATGTGCCCTGACTGGGAATCAAACCCGCAAGCTTTTGGTGTATGGGATGATGCTCTAACAACTGAGCCGCGCCGGCTGGGCTATATGGCTTGTCTTGATCCATTCTACCCACCTATTCCTAATATCTCCCCCTCATTTAAATTGAGTTATTCTTAAGCAAATCCCAAGCATTTATTTGATTTCATTCTAAATATTCCAGTGTATCTCTTAAAAAAATCACTATTTTTGAAACAAAACTGCAAAGTTACAGTCACACCTAAAAATGAGTAATAATTCCTTAATATCATCCAGTGTCCAAATATTTTGCTTTTTGGTTGATTGGTTAAGCCAGGATCCAGACAGAGGCCACACGTCACATCTGGTAGCTGTGTTTCCTAGGATTTCTCAAATCTATAGGTTCCCCTGACCTCTTTTTTTTCTTGCAATGCGTTTATTAAAGAAACTGGACGTTTGTCCTGCAGGGTGTCCCACGTTCTGGATTTGGCTGATCGTGTCCCTATGGCATCATTTAACATGGTCGTTCTCTTGTCCCTTGCTTTTCCTGTAGACGGGCAGCTGGATCTAGAGGTTTGCCCAGATTCAAGTCCGTGGTTCCTATTTACCCAAACTCTTTGTGCTAATGCCGCCCAATTGGAAAGAACTGTGGCAACCGCCAGTGCTGGGTCCCTCGCAGCTTGCACATCTTCAGGCATAATCTCTAGAACAGCCTTGGTATGTGGGCTCTGTCCTGCATGAAATCCCCTGCCCCATTTCCTGGAGGAAGTGAGGAAGGGCAGGGAGGCCACATGTAAGATCTGCAGCTGCCTCAGTGACCGAGAAGGACGAGGCCCTGGCCCTCAGGGATAGACTGAGTAGTGGGGACGGCAGCTAGAGCCAGCAAGCAGACAGAGACAGTTTTACAAACAAGTGGAGGTATAAATCGGGGTGCAGGGAGTGAGGGAGGGGGAAGGAGGGGCATGGAGCCTACGCAGATGGCTCTTCTCTAGAGAGAAGGAAGGCTCTTCTAGAAGGTGCTGCTTCAGCTGAGGCCTGCAGGATGAGGCAGGACCTGTCACGTGACTGCAGGAGGTGGGGGAGGGTGCTGGCGGCAGTGGGGCAGGGAAAGTGCCAGGTGCTCAGGAGGTAGGACGCACAGGACTGGGGTGAGAACAAGGAAGGAATCAAGGCTGACCCCCAAATGCCCTGGCTTACGCAGCTGGGCGAATGGCAGTATGGGGACAGCCTGGGCCGTGCGGTAGGTGGCTGTGTGAATCCCATCGGGGTCCCCAGCCTCGTCCCCTGGAGACTGCGCCCAGGTCTGACCTCTTGGCCTCCTCAGTGCCTGGCCTTTGTGTTCCCTGCCCTCCTGTTCGATGGGCCGATGGTGCTTCCAAAAGATGGAGAAAAGACACGAAGAGCATCATGTGCTTGACAGGAATGTCAGCACCAGGCGTGCCGGGGGGGGGTCGTCCGTCAGGCGTGCCGCTAATGGTGTGTCTGGGAGAATGAAAGGCTCCTGGAGGGCAGTTTAAAGCTGAGAATCAAGTGAAACTTCTGGATGATCTGTGTCTGACACTTACCTGTGAGGTCATCCTTCTTCATGAGCACAGGCAACTGAGTTGAATGTGCAGGAAAACTGGCTGAAAAGTCATTTTCCAAAACTAATACTAACGAGGGTTATCTGGTCTTTGTCCAAAGCATCTGCAGTGCTTCGTGCCAGCGGTCTGAAAACTCGATTCCTAAAGTATTTCTTGTGAAAATAGAAACATTCCTAGGCCCAGATTCTAAACAGTAAAAGGCACTGGGAGTCTTTTCAAAACTGTTGGGCTGACTTGCATTTCATTGGAAAACAGATTTTTAAAACTAAGTTGTCTGTATGTGGCCTCCTATGTCACTTCCCACTAGCAGCTGGTGACTGCTGACTTCTGGTGTCTTGAGAAAGCGAGCCATTTCCCACGCTCCGGCTCCCTGGCCAGCCGGGCTGGGAGGTGTTCGGTTGGGGGTGGGGCATAGCCCGCTGGGCCAGCTCACCCCTGACCTCCTCTGCAGCCTGTCCACGTAGTCCAGAAAATTATTGCTGCCACCAGGCGATGTCCCCTAAACAGCTCACAGCCCCTGAAGTTGGGTAAAAGGGGAGGTGTGTGCAGCTCACTCCCTAAACCGCTGTTCAGCCGGCTCTACCATATGGGGCCTTCTCCCTTTTCACCCGGTTCTTGGCATGTTGCAAAGGTTTGCTCTTAAGTTCCTGTCCTTTTTGTCCACCCTGTCCCTTCCTCCAGTAATGAAGTGAAGATAAGGATGTGGGTGGATGAGGGAGGGAAATAAGTGGCCTAGAAATCCTGCAGACCTTCAAATCTGGACAATTGAGAGTCGTCATTTGCAAAGTCTCTCCCATTCAATTAGGGATTTTTTAAAAAAATTCACAGATCCTGGAAGTGAAAAGACCAGTGGAGTTGATTCTGTGTCATCAGTGGGTTGAACAGTGACGAGACCGTGTACGGGGTCAAAGCCTCCTTCTCAGTGTGGCTTTGCAGGAGGCCAAGTGCCTCCATGAGAACAGTGGTACTGTGTTACAGGCAGTTATAACCGACCGGAAGACACCTGTCCACGTGTGTGGTGAAGAGGAGAGCCAGCGTGGAGCTGGCCTCCCTGGGTTCACACCCCAGGGCTGCCACTTGTTGGTACCTTTGGAGGAATGGATTCACTTGCCTCACTTTCCTCATCTGAAAAATGTGGATGCTAGGGGCACCTGGTCTTACAGAGTTCTTCAGAGAATTAGATGTTAGTGTGATGCCTAGAACATGGTAAACATTCAGTAGGTGTTAGCTATTATTCTAGGACATTAAATTATTCAAAACAATGGCACCAGCATGCGCCGTGCAGATTTACTTCTGCGGGGCTTGCTTCTCACTCATTCGTGGTGTCTCGCTCTGCGTGGGGCCGCCTCCCCATCCCTTGCTGGATGGTGGCTTCCAGGAAGGCAGAGCCCGTGTAGTGCCCCATGGACCTGGTGCGGCAGGATTACTCCGCTCATTCAGTAAATTGACGAAGGCTTTAATAATGACTGATGTATAGTGGCTCTTTGCAAGACACAAGGGGCGCGCCTAAGGGACGCCTGAGACCCTTAAGACACTTGTCCCCGGTGCGGGGACTGGTGCATGCCAGCGTCGGGGCTGCGATTCTTGCCCCGAGCGCCTTCCCCCGGGATGCCTGCCCAGGCAAACACGCGGGTTGAGCCGTATCTGGCGCACTGTGGCCCCTTGTGACAGCGTCCTCCAGTGGGCGCTCAGCCTCCCCTGAAGGAAATGGAAACGTCACGTCTGCGCCCTTTAACTCGGCTTGGCTTCGCGCAGGTCACCACGAACGGCCTCATTGCCACGAGTGAGCCCCCGGCCGAGGAGGCGCACCCCGGGCCCTTCCCTCCGCCCTTCGGCGCGGTGGCGCCCTTCCTGGCGGACTTGGACACGACCGGCGGCCGCGGGAAGGTGTACTATCGGGAGGACTCGTCGCCCTCCGTCGCGCGGCTGGCAGCCCAGAGTGTCCAAAGAGGGTTCCCGGACGTCTCTTTCCAACCCACCAGCGTGGTGGTTGTCACCTGGCTGTCCGTGGCGCCCTACCGAGGGCCCAGCGAGGACCCCGCCCCGGAAGGCCAGGTGAGCCCTGACCCAGGGACCAGCGCGACGGTCGACCGGGTCGGCTGCGTCTGGCGCTGCTGCTCGGGCCTGCCGCGCGCCCTGTCACTGGTGAAGACGGGACGGGCGCCGCAAAACCGAGCGGGCCCGGCATCGCAGGTCCACACCGGCGGCGCTGCATCCGCTCTCGGCCATCCGTCCGGGTTCCAGTGACCAGCGGGTTGGGGAGGGCTAGTTCCTGAGAGGCCCGCTGCGGGGGTCGGGTAGTGGGAGGTCGCTCCTGGTTCGATAGAGTCGCTATTGGTAAGGAGTGAAGGTTACAATAACAAAGTAATCCCGAAGGGTGTGAGGGGAAAAAGACGAAGAAAATCGCTTGCACCGTGTGGCTGTTTCAGAGCATCCTGGGTGCGCGGCCGGCGGCGGGGTGCCCGGTCGGGAGAGGCCGGAGGGGCGGGGCTTGGACGAGCCCTTGGGGAGCGGGTAGGAACGGGGAAGGAAGCGGAAGGAAGCGGGAAGGAAGCGGGAGGGAAGCGGGAGGGAAGCCGGTCGCCGAGTAGGCCGGGAAGCCATCCCGAGCCCTGCAGCCCCTCTTTAGGACACGGTTCAGCTTCTCCTTGGAAAAATAATTTCGCTCTACCATTATTTAATTTTTATAGGATTACACGGTAGGGAGGATCTCGAAAGGCATGCAAGTACCATATTTTGACGTGTGTAATGTGCACTTTTGCCCAACTTTTTGAGGGAAAATAAGGATGTGCGTTATGCCTGAGTATCATGATAACAGACCACAGCTGCTGTAATAGGCATAATAATCCCGTGTATAATGCGCACGAAAACATGGGTGCATGTTACACACGGGAGCTCATTATGCACGGCAATATACGGTACTCCATTTATGTGGGTATGTCCCAAAATGTGTGCGTAAAACACTTGTCCTACGTAGTCCTGGAAAAAAGGCCACCCCGGCCAAATGCATTCGGGAAATGCTACAACTCGATCTCCCGCTTGGAGATGTCTCTGAAAAACACTGTAACCAGGAAACCTCCTTAATTTTGATGGACTTAGCAGCTTTGGCCACCCCCTCCCCCTTCTCCTGCCACAGGACGCCCTGTGGGAGGTCTGCTATGGGCCTGCACGACACCCCCTGTGTTGTCACCTGTATCTGTCTTAGTGCTGTGCGTGAACACTGCCTAAAACCTTCCATTTCTTGGGTGTGTGTCCCCTTCCTCTGAGCGACAAATGCCCAGCCCCCAGCACAGGGCCCCCGCCTGCCTCTGGGCTGACCCACCCCTTCCCGCACACCCTCTGCAGCAGCTGCTTGTCACCAGCTGTGTCTTGCCCTCGCTGTCCCCTCTGCGGTGACATCCTCTCCCTGACCCCTCTGCAGGTGCTCACGCGGACTCGGTCAGCCCTGCCCGCGCCCACCTCCCTGGTGTCAGCATGTCCTCCTGTGGCTCCAGCGGCACTGGCACGCTGTTGCAGACTCTGTCACCTCCCACCCCCGTCCCCCAGCTTTGCGATGTCTTGTCCACATGCCACGTTGCCATTCAGGCCGTACATTCATTCTCAAGTGCAGGGACCATGTCTTCTTACTCTTCCTGTCCCTTGTCCTCAGGGCAACGCCTGGGACACAGGAAAGGTCCTCTGTGGGGGGAACACTCTCTCCACAGCCCTCCCACCACCTCTGCGAGGGGGTGGTTTTATCTCCCTCGAGCAGGTGCAGACACCCGAGGCGTAGAGAGCTTAGGTCACGTGCCTGAGGTCACACACCAGTGATGACTGAGGATTTGGGTCCAGGTCTGTTTTCACCCAAAGCTCATGTTCTTTCCTCCTGCATGGTCCTTGGGCTCAGCAATGTATGCTTAATGGCGGATGTGGTTGACTGTGTTTAGTGGCCATGGGAACCAGTTCTAAGGGTAAGAATTTGCTAAATTACACGAGATTTTCAGGCCACCGTCTGGAGGGACCATCTCTATAATTTTTGGTCAGTCTTAGGGTCGCAGTTACGCAGAAGGTATTCATTAATTCATTAGAAAATGTCATGTTGCCATAACCTTAGAGACACTCAAGTGGCACTCTCTCGGAGTACTTGGTCCTTGCTACAGAAGCACTTCTTTCAGAATAAGGCAGGAATACTGCCATCCCTGGACACTTCCCGTAGGTCTGGTGACTGGCACATTTTAGGGTCTGTAGTTTGTTGCCTGAGTAACTGAACTTTGACTCATCTCCCCAGAGAAACACGTTCCAGGCTGTGCTGGCCTCCTCTGCTTCTAGCTCCTACGCCATTTTCCTTTACCCCGAAGACGGCCTGCAGTTCACGACGACGCTGTCAAAGAAGGACAACAGCCAGGTCCCCGCCATGGTGGCCTTCAGCCAAGAGCTACAGGGATCGCTATGGAGCAGCAACCGAGCTTATAATATATTTGCTAATGACAGAGAATCGATCGCAAATTTGGCCAAGTATGCTTCTTTGTTCTTTAGTAGGTTCCCTCTTAATATGATTAGTGCTTTATTACTTATTAAGGATAATGTAATGGGCATTACAGAACATTACCTAAAAATGTTCCCTTAGATTGCAATTTTGTATATAGTTTTTATATTACGTAGTCTTTTTTCTGATGAACTCAAGGGAATATATTCTTCGAATGAACAGGTGCCCTACTTCTTAGGTACCATCCTCACCTGAAACAGTTTCTACCACCTCCTCAATAAGTATAAAGTTAGAAAGAAAAGTTTTCCAAACCCATTTCCTGCAATGAACCCAAGGCTGAGACAACCCTTCCCCCTGACATTGACTAGGCAGGAAATCTTACACCAGAATCAGTGCTCTCTCAGGCGATTTTGCAGCATTTGGCAAAAGGGGAGAGAAAGCTCAGACTGCTTTCTCTAAAATTAAAGGCTTTTCTCTACCAACATTCTTTAAAAAGTAAAGAAAGACCCTCTCCCCCAATTTTCAGATTGTCAGATTGAGCCTAAAACTCCTTTGCCTTTAGCTTAATGGCGACTGGTAGTGGCTTAGCAGCTGGCTTTATGGGTGTGGGAGAGGCCCTATTTACAGGGCTGGCCTCTTTCTGTGGTGTAAGCACTGCTGCCATGGCCGGGTGCCACCTGCTCAGGTATGTCCCTCGATGTGGAGATGAGAAAAGATGAAACATTGTAGCGTTCTTACCATTCAAGTGCACTAGACAAATAACTTCAAGAACATAGATAACAGTCATATAACTCAGTTGTGATGAGTTTTGATTATATATTGCCTTTGGAAAAATATAACTTATTTAATTGTGATTTTACATATTTTTTTTTACAATGGCTGCGTTTAATAACTGGCTTGCCAAGTTTCTAAAATTTAACAGCCGCTCCCTTGAGAGGCCCAGGCTGACAGCTGATTGGACGGTCTCGATTCCTCACCCCCTGTCCCACCCCAAGTTTTTGCTCAGTGCTCTCTACCAAGTATGTCCCTTCTTTCCATTGTACAATCTCATAAGAGTAAAAATGGTGCAGCAAGAAGTAGACATTACGGTTATTCTATTGTGTTTTGTAATTATAAAATAGCTTTAGAGTCTGAATCTCATTTGCATTTCACTGTCCATTTTGAGCATAAAAAGGTTAACTGAAACTGTCCAAGATTACACAGCTAGCAGAGATGGGATTTCTAAGAAACCAAGTCTGTTCTGTTTTCACTCACAGCACTTCTGACGCCAAGTGTGTGGGTTTCTTTCCCATACCAACCAATTCTCCGACTCCAGACACCAGCAGGGTGTCCTGCAGTTCAGTTCAGTTGTGACACTAATTCCCCAGGCTCAGCGCAGACCCCGCAGGGGGAGGGCCCAGTCCCACAAGACACCCCCACTTCAGATACCAGGCCCCAGTCCCAGGTTGCAAGCCTCCCCCACCCCTCAAGTCACAGAATTCGAGAAAGCACTAACTTAGGATTATCAGCTTACTCTAAACTACAACTCAGAAACAGGTGAACAGAAGAGGTGCACAGGGCAAGGTGTGAGAGGGAGCGGCCCCCCGAGCTTCCCTGCCCTCTGTGGGCACCACCCTCCCGGCACCTCCATGTGTTCACCAGCCTAAAAGTTCACCCAGCCTTTGGGGGTTTTATTACCAGGCATGGTTGATTAAACCCTTGACGTTAGTGATACACCCCGTCTTCAGCCCCGCCCCTCTTCATGGAAGTCAGGGCGAGGAGCTGAAAATTCCAACCCTCTAATCGGTCTTTCCCGGTCCAGAAGCTATCTGGGTCCCCAGCCGCCAGCCATCTCATTAGCATAAAAAAGACACTTATCACTTGGGAGATTAAATGGACTTTAGAAACTGGATGCCAGAACTACAGAAAAAGACCAAATGCCATAGACTCTTGAACAACGTGGGCTTGAACTGTAGGGTCCATTTATATGGGGATTTTTTTCAATAAATACGGAATGTATTTTCCTTATGATTTTCTTAATATCATTTTCTTTTCTCTAGCTTACTTATCGTAAGGATACAGTACCTAATACATGATACAGTAACATACAAAGTATGTATTAATTGACTGTAATTGGTATGGCTTTCAGCCAACAGCAGGCTTTTAGTAGTTAAGCTTTTAGGAAGTCAAATGTTACATGTGGATTTCGACTGCGCGGGAATGGGGCTTCCACCTCCCGTGTTGTTCCAGGGTCAGCTATGCGTATTTCTTGTCACACCACGCCATGGAAAGAGAATGATGCCTAAATGAATGACTGCAGTCAACAGGTTGCTTGCGGTTGGGCGTGTGCCCGGGGATGAGCAGAGTCTCACTTTAAGTCCTGGCAGTGCCTTCGAGAGCTCCCCTCCGGTGGCCAAGGGCAAGCCTTTGCTAGTCTGTGTCCTTTGGGACACCGCCTCCCCCACTGGCCTGGATGGCCTCAGCTCTGCGTTGACCACAGAGGACCCAGTCTGCCCTCCCACCCTCCAGCTCAGCGGGGTTTCAGAGGCACACAGATTCCCCAGGGCTCCTTCTGCTTGGGTAGTGGGGCCTGTTCCCAAGAAGTCTGTCCTTTCTCCTAGGAGCAGCAACTCTGGGCAGCAGGGCGTCTGGGTGTTTGAGATTGGGAGTCCGGAAACAGCCGGTGGCGTGGTGCCCTCGGACGTGACCTTCACACTGGAGGATGAAGAGGAGTATGATGAAGATTATGACTCAGTGACAAGTCTGGGCCCGGAGGACGTGGGCACCACTTCCTTCCCCTCTGAGGCTCCCAGAAGGGGAGACACTGGCACACACAACACACACAGAGCCCTCTCCCCGCCCCGCCTGGCCACCGACAGACCTTCCACCGACAGGACCAGGTCTTTCCAGCTGCCTGGGGAGAGGTTCCCTCAGCAGCACCCGCAGGTCATAGACGTGGATGAAGTCGAGGAAACAGAAATAGGTAAGGACGCTGAAGCTGCAGTTGGTACGTTCTGGGACCCTGGGCTTCCAGACAGAGGACAAGTGCTGGAGGGTGCCTGCTGTGTGCATCCTGCGGTGGGTGTGAGGACAAGAAACGGGGAGGTGGCGGTGGGGGCGCCGTGCAGGGCGCGGTGGGCAGGCCCTGCGCCCGCGAAGGCTCAAGACGGCTTTCGGGATTAAGGCTGCGGTTATGGGGGCTGCTGAGCGTGTCCTCTTTCAAGTTCCCTATTATTCCCATTGTCTGTTTGTTTTAAGGAGAAAAGTGCTTTAGAATTACTTTGAAAGTCAGATTTTCTTATTTGTGATTTCTGAGGTCAGAAATATATTCATCCACCTGAAAAAACATTTTAGAAGTTTCTCTGGCTGTTGACGCAGTTTATCTTTGACATTTATTTCCTCTTGGTTTTGGAATGAGAATAGTTGATTATTTTTCCTCCCAGCTCCTGTCAGCTTCAGAGTCGGTTTGTGGAGATTTTAAAATACAAAATAAGTAGATCCTTCTTTTCAAATACAAGCAAAGCTTATTTAGAAAGTCACGGAGGTAAAAGTGAGCCGTGGCTGAAGTGAGCCAGCTGGGCTGCGTGGGCTGAAGAGACAAGTTCCAGAGGCAAAGGAGGGCCCTTGGAGCTTAGGGGAGAGAGTGAGAGAGACAGACAGACAGACAGACAGGCCGAGAAGGAAAACACAACTGAGGGGAAGCAGGTGGGGAAAGGTGCGGGTGTGCCCCAGAGAGCGAGCTGCCAGACCCTTTAAAGGTGGTTTTAAAGTATCAATACAATATCTTCTAGCCAACCAGGTTTTTGCTACATGTTCAGGGAAAACAGTATGCTTTGATTTTACAAAAGACATCCAAACTAAATTGCGTTCATTAATTTTTGCTCTTCGGGTTGACTTACAATGTGCATTGAGATTTATATAAACAGGGTGGTCCAAGCCTTTAAATACTGTTTATTTTGACTGCCGTTTCTACGAGAAGTTTCCATAAGGCCCTCAGAAAACCTCCTCCATTCCACACGGTCACTCCGTTTTGTTTCTTCTTACTTGTTCTGAGTTGTCTCCTAATGAGAGTCACACGTTTGTTGTTCTTGAGTATCGCAAAGCGTGGATGAGATCTGGTGGCCCGGGGCACGGGGCTTGCTTCCTCCCGAAGGCAGAGGTGGGGGTGGTGCCCTTTAGGGGCATGGGGAGGGCTTGGGTCCATGTCTCAGGGCTCCACCCGCCTCTGCACCTGGGTTTCCTGAGGTGATGCTGACACCCCTTGGTGCCTGGCACTCTGCTCTCACAGCTGCGTTTCAGAGGGATCTCCCCAGATGTGCTGGGTTGTTTACTTGCAGATGTTAAGAGTTGAGCCTTCATCCTATCTACGTGTCTCTGAAATTCTCCTTGTGAACCCCTCACATTGCGATGAGATCATATCTGGCCCCAACAACACATGGCGGTGCATTGCTTGGTACTACTAAAGCCTAGATTTGACCCCAACGTGTGTCTAAAGCAGATGTTTTCTTGTCCATCTATCCTAGTTATTTCACTGCCTTTTAAAAGGTCAGTCTCCTGTGGCCAGCAGTGCATTCCTGGTGTTACCTGAATAGCCACTCTTGGTCGGATAGGCAGGCCGCAGGGCCCCCTGGGAGCTGGGCCCGCAGCTGGAGCTGAGCTTGATCCCTCTTCCACCACACCCGGCTCCTCCCCCTCTGGTGATCACCACACTGTTGTCTGTGTCTCAGTTTCGTTTTCTTGTTTTTTTTTAAGCTGTTATTTTTTAAAATTGAATTTTTTGGGTGACATTGGTTAATAAAATTATGCGTTTCAGGTGTGCCATTCTACGGCACATCACCTGTGCACCATATTGTGTGTTTACCAGCCCAAGTCTCCTTCCAGCCGTTCAACCCCTTTACTCTCTCTTCTGCCTCCCCACCCCCCGCCCCTCTGGAATCCACCGTGCTGTTCTCTGCCTGAGTCTGGCTTTGTTTTTCCTTAATCCCTTTCCCTTTTCCCAAATGCCATTTTTATACAGACCGAAAATTCCCTTCTGAGCATGTAGGACTAGTTGTAGCTCCCTGGGTTGAACTTTACTTTTATCTTCACTCCTAACAGTCGGTTGTAAATTGGACCACTCTCCCCTGCACACGGTCATCTTCCTGTGCTTCTGAGCTTCATTCCAAACTACTTTCCTCTGGATTGTTAAGTCTAATGAGTATTAGTTCCTAACGCCAATAAACTGAACCTGGGTGAAAGGCTTTTAGAGCAGGTATGGCTGAGGAATTGGTTCTAATCAGCTTTTGAAAATCGGAGCTTCTGCGTTATTCCCTCACCCCCACCCCGACTCTGGGAGGAAGGGCAAAAAGGTCTCAAAATACTTTGAAGTCATTAAAATGACAAATTTTATGTTATATGATTTTGCCACCATAAAAAAAAATACGTTAAGGCTTCCCTGAACCGTGAAGCTGGCCTTCGGGACTGCGTTAGGCAGACACCTCGTCAAGACCAGTGTTGGGGGCAGTGACCCAGGGCTGCCGCAGCGCCCCGGGCAGACTCGGTTGCAGCGGTTTTCGACAAGTCACCCCTGTGATCCCGCCCCCGCTCCCGAGCCCCGTGCGCCTCGGTGGCTGGAGTGGGGGAGCCAGCACGCCACTGGGAGCTCCGGACCACCTCCCCGCGCCTGCGAGCTCGCCCTGCAGGCCGGGTGCCCGTGCGCTGTGAGCCGGTCGCCGGAGTCTGGCAACGCGCTCACAGGCCCGCTGGGGTTTCTCCGCAGTTTTCAGCTACAACACGGACTCCCGCCCGACGTGCGCGAACAGCAGGCACCAGTGCTCTGTGCACGCGGAGTGCAGGGACTTCGCCACCGGCTTCTGCTGCGCCTGCGTCACCGGCTACATGGGGAACGGCCGGCAATGTGTTGCTAAAGGTACTTGTCTGTGTTCATTCGTGGGGAGCAGGGGGAGGGGTTTCGTTGCCCTGCTTGCTTTGAAATGCCGCCAGCCCTCGCTCTCTGCGCCCGCCCGCTCCCTGGTCTCCCAGGCCGCTGAGGGCGGGCCTCTGGGGCGGCCACCTCTTTCCGGGGCTGTTTCTCCGACTCAGAAACGGCCGCCGCTTGTCCCACCTCCGCAGCTGCCCTCCTGGGTGGGGCAGAGGCTGATGGGGAATTACGCAGCCTGGACCAGAATTGCTGATGCCTCTCATTGTCCTCAGTTCCTTTCACACGTCTGAGTTGGCCCTGCTCACAGGCCTGACTGTCAAGTGACTGTTAAACCCCAGCAGGGCTCCGCTGAGCTGGAGACCGAAGTAGGTCGGGGGCGAGGTCTTCCCCGTCCCCTCAAGCGGCCCTCCCCTCGTGCCCCTTGTGATGGCAGAGCGGGCAGGCGACCACAGTTGATTCTACAGAACCGACCCCGTTGTGGGGCGAACTCCAACCTGGATCCAGCTGTGGGCCGAGGGCACTTCCGAGCTCTGCTCGGGGAAGGACCAGGCAGTCTCGGTGCTCAGAGATGCTCAGACGGCCATGAAGGTCTGGAGGCTCCGGATGGCAGTTTACTCAGAACGAGCCCTAGGGGAGCCCCTGGCCATAAACTCGACTTAAAACTAAGGCCCCAAAAGCCCTGCCGTACTGGACATTTGTCCCTTCAATGCCAAATCACCTCACTTGTCTCCACTCATTTTACTTGTGTTTTTAGTGAGCAAACTCAATTCTTCGCAAATAAAACTTGGGAGAATTTTCCTGTTTTTTACATCACCTGCCATAGCTATAGTTAAATCAGTTTAATTTACTAAAAAAATAAGTTTCCTTCTGAGTCACAATTAGATAAAGTGAGGTTTGTTAAATACTAACCTTAGCAATGAAGGAAAATTTTGTGTAGTTATGTTAATTTGGGGGGATGTTTTTAACTTCTATAAATGCGTTTTCTGTTTTCTCCCAAATCGCACACCCCAGGGGCAGGGAGCCTTTGCCTCTTTGTTTTAGGCTTGGCATTTAGGTGGGGAGAAGCTTCCAAAATCCACAGCAAAAGCTCCTCCTCAAGGAGCCGTCTCGTAGCTCCTCCCACGCTAAGTGCCGGAGCTGGAGACGCTCAGCTGTGTGTTTGGCAGTAAGCGCAGCTCTCACAAACCGCCCCGCCCCACGTTTGAACATTGTCTACACGGTCCCTGAGAGTTTTGTGGTTTAAATATTTGTTGGATTCTTGCTACTTTGACACATTTTTTTAGCTCAAAGTCTGGTTGGAAAAAAAAAAATGGTGTCCTTATCTTGGTTTTCCTGCTTGTTGCTGTGTTGTTTGGGGACGCAGTTTTTCCATATTAGTCTGGCACGGCAGTGTGTGCTGAAATGCTCCATGTGTTGCGTAGCTTTTGCTTGTCAGTCACCGTTGGCAGCTCGGCACTGAAGGAGCCAAACAAAGGCTTTCAGGACGGGTGGCGACAGTCAGGGCAGGCCAGCTGTCCAGGGCTGTCCAGCAACTTGACCCAGAACTCACTGCGCGCGGACAGCTCCTCAGAGGCCGGGTGGGGGTTGGTGCAAAAGCCTCGTCCCTAGTAATTTCTAATCTAGGAAGAAAACAAGACGTGTACATTCAGCAACTGATGGAATTTAATCTACCTCAAACCTGAACTGTCCAAGGTGACTGATTTACCTCTTCAGTTTTTTAAAAAAGATATAAGTAACTCATTTGTTTAAAGCACACAATCTTGTAGTCTTAGTATATTCAGTAAGTTGTACAAACTGTCACTGATACCTAACTTTATAACAGTTTCATCACTTCAGGCAGAGCTCCATAAGCAGTCACTTTTGGTTCCCCCACGTCCAGTTCCTGGCAGCTTCCTGTCAATATGGGTTTTCCTGTTCTGAGCGCTTCATGTGGATCGAATCATACAACATGGGACCTTTGATGTTTGGCTTCTTTTGCTCAGTGTAATGCTTTCAAGGTTATCCATGTTTTAGTGGGGTCAGGCCTCCGTTCCTGTTTTCCAGCTAAGTAACGTTCCACACCGTGGATACAGTGCATTTGTTTCCACTCATCCACAGATGGACACGCAGGTGGTTCCTGTGTTGGCTGTGGTGTTTGATGTGGCTAGGAATGTTTGTGGACAAGTCTTTGTGTGGATGTATGTTTTCTGCCCTTTTGGGTACACGCCTAGGAGCTGGAATCGCTGAAAATCCATCATGAAACCTTAAAGAGTAGACTCTTCCGTGTCGGAGGTCAAAAGGCAGCCTTCAGTTTTCTTACGCAAATACAAGAACAACTTAATTTCTTTAGAGCTTATCTTTTCCTGATTAAACAACAATAAATACATGCAAGTTCTAAATATCCAAACATTATAGAGATATATAGTGTAGACAGTGAAGGTACCACATTACCCTGAGTTAACCACTAAGAACAGTTTTGTGTACCTCTCTTCAGATTATTTCCACCCAGGGATATGTCAACATTTTTTGTTAACATAACTTTTAAAACAAAAATAATATTCTGCATATGCTATTTGGCAATTCATGAGGAAGGCTTTTAAATTTGCCACGGTAGGTCTCACATTGGTCCCAGTTGTCTGAGTGGAGCAACCAACACACATCCCCCCCCACAAGCAGGTCTGGGTCAGAGGTCGTGTGGGTGTGGCCATGGCGAGTCGCCCCGTGCTGAGCGTGCCAGTGCTGAGCGTGCCAAGCGTGTCGAGCCTGCCGACTTGGGCTGCAGGAAGCTTCAGGACTCAGACTGGCAGCCCTGACCTGGTGGGGCAGCGCTGTATTTCAGCCAGGGACGCTCGTTAAGGTGTTATAGGGCCAGCAACCAAAGGCCCAGATTCCAGGGCCGTCCAGTTCAGCCCTGTTCCAGTGACTGCTGATTCTGTCCCTTACACTCTCCAAAGTGAGCGGTTTTGTGGTCCCTAATTCTGGGTCACCCATGATACCATTCTTCTCCTGAGATCGCTACCTGTGCCCCGGAAGTCACCCGTGGCACACGGCTCCCGTTGGAGCCCCTGGCGTGCTGCCCGCCGCCGGTCAGCGTGGGAGGCGAGGCGGGACGGCGGAGTTTCTCAGGCTCACACTCACGGGTGTGGGTGCTGCCGTCCTGGGAAGAGCAAGGACTTTCGCTGACCCCGCAGCCCCTGCCCCCGTGCCATTTTGCCGCGTTGCCCTACAGGGACAGGTCTACCAGACGTGGTATTCTTTTTGTGAAACACTGGTTGCTTCCCTTGGTTCTCGCTCAGGCTCTCCCCAGCGAGTTAACGGCAAGGTGAAAGGACGGATCTTCGTGGGGAGCAGCCCAGTCCCCATTGTGTTTGAGAACACGGACCTGCACTCCTACGTGGTGACGAGCGACGGGCGCTCCTACACGGCCATCAGCACCATCCCCGAGGCCGTCGGCTACTCCCTGCTCCCCCTGGCCCCCGTGGGCGGCATCATCGGGTGGATGTTTGCAGTGGAGCAAGATGGATTCAGGAACGGGTTCAGCATCACAGGTTCGTACCCCAGACGTTAAAATCAGTGGGCATGGGGGCCAGGGAATGAATGGGAAGGGAACGCACGTCTACCAATAACTCGGGATGAGCTTTTGTGGCTCTGGGAATAAGATGTTGTGGTAAAATTATCAGTATGTTGTCATTCATGCCTATTAACTAAGACTGCCTAAAACTGCGGGTGGACCAGGGATTCAGAAGTCCCCGGAGGGTAGGTGATGCCATCGTATACGCTCACAACCCAGGGGTGGGACTCCCAGGCCCCTCCTCCTGCTTCTCCAGTGGACTCCACAGTCTAAACTGATCTGAAACTGGTTCGACATTTTCTCAGTATCTACTGGGAAGAAAGGAGCCTGTGGTTTCCAGCCGGTAGACACATTCTTTGCAAGTCAGGAAGCCTGAGTCTCCTTGGAGCTTCTCAGCGGCTGGGCCTTGTACTGGAGAGCTCAGCCTTTAGTAGGTGCGCGAGGGCAGCTGGTAGCGGGGACAGTCCCGAAGATAGCGGCAGCCTCTCCCATGCTCTGCCTGCCCGCGCGTGCGGGACGCCCTTTCCTGGCAACCACTCAGGTAGAGCGCTTTCGTCCTTCAGCTCTGGCCACTTGCAGGACCTAGAGCCTGTGTGTGGTCTGGGGCACAGGTGCGTGGCCGTTGCCCTGACTCCCTGGCCCTGCCCTCTGCTCACTGCCCAGCCTCGCTGGGGCCTCAGCCACGGCTCGAAAGCGGGGTCTCTACAATGTACACCGTAACCCTCCAAGTCACAGACACCAGCTTCTGAAGTATGGCCATTGTAAGAAAGGAGAGGCTATATGTGTGAAAAGGGGTAAGCCTACCCATCAGATACCTAATTTATGGCCTGATGGTTTTTCTCCCTATTCCTCAGGTGTACACATCTGAGTATTATAACCACGTTCACACTCTTGTAGACGGAGTAGAGCTTTAAGTGAGACCCATAGATGCTACTCCTCCCCATACAGCTTTCCATGGGGCGATGCTCTGTAACATGCGCCAACTTCAGTGGGCTAGGGAGTCTTTACAAGCTCCTACGATGGCAAGTCTTTGTCATTGCAATGGTTTTGAGTTGCCCAGCACCTGTGTTGTCAGCTGCATATCACCTGGAAGCTGCTACAAAGCAGAAGTCGTAGGCTTTTTCTGCAAAGGCCCAGAGAGTAAATATTTTAAGGTTTGCCTAAATACTTCAGGCTATGCGGTCTCTGTCGCAGCTACCATACTCGGTCTTTGCAGAGAGAAAGCAGCCGTAGATAATAGGCAAAGGAATGAGCATCACCATGTTCCAATAAAACTTTATCAATGGGCACTGAAATTTAAATGTCATGTAATTTTCACATGTCAGGAGATATTCTTTTGACTTAAAAAAATATTTACAAATGTAAAGACCATTCTTAGTTCAAGGGTTGCCAGCCAATTTTGCCCTGGGCCATGGCGCGTTGGCCACGCCCCGCCTCAGTGGGAGTGGGCGTGTGTGGGAGAGGGAGAGGGGGAGGAGGGGACATGCTTTCCCTGCTGGCCTGGGCTACTGCCCTGCACAGCCCCAGGGGAGCTCTGAGCCAGCACTCTAGTGTGTGCTCCTGGGGTGGCTACGCTACTGCTGACAGTCTGCCCCAGAGAAGAAGTTCCCATCCTGGGCCGGACTTAGCGGACATCTTGGAGCCCTTGACATCTGGCAGAGCCCTGTGGAATGTACTTCACCTCATCTCATTTCTGCAAGATAGACTGTATCCCTTTTTGTCATCAGGAATTGCAGGCTCAGTGGCTTCAGTTCACCCAGCTAGCACCTAGCACAGCTGGGTGTCCAACCCCGGTCCCCTGCGTTTTTCAGTGCTTTCCCTGAGCCGTCCCATCTCAGACACTGGTTTGTGGTTGGGCAGCAGCTTCTCTCTGTGTGTGATTTAGTTGGGCTGTATGGATGGCCCTGCTCCATCCTCAGGTGTCGCCAGCCCCATTTCCACCAACCAGACTGAAGTATCTGCAGAGGAGGTGTGGTCCCATCACCTTGAGGGCCAGCATGGGGGGCTTGGGGTGGGCGCGAGGGTGGCTTCCCTGATGGCAAGGTGACAGGCTGGCTTTGCTTTCCAGGGGGCGAGTTCACCCGCCAGGCTGAGGTGACCTTCGTGGGGCACCCAGGCAAGCTGGTCATCAAGCAGCAGTTCAGCGGCATCGACGAGCACGGACACCTGACCATCGACACGGAGCTGGAGGGCCGCGTGCCGGAGGTCTCTGCCGGCGCCACGGTGCACATCGAGCCCTACACGGAGCTCTACCACTACTCCCGCGACGGTGAGGGGCAGCCGGCGGCTCCACGGCCTGTGGAGAGGGAACCCGGGGGCAGTTCCCTGTAAAGCCACCTGTCCCCTCATGGCAGACCAAGCACACACTCGCTCCAGGGAATGTAGCACAAAAAGAAAATAAGCGTATCTTAGAGCCGCAAAACCAGGATGTGACTCGTATTAAATTTAAAGTATTTCCTTCCAGCCGTTTCCCTAGAACATATATAAAAAAATCCCTACATATATAATATCCCAACATAAATAGCTCAACATATTAATTTCCAAATATAGGAACATAATTTTATTATGCTATACATCTATATGTAGTTAATTTTTTATCTTTAATAATATCAAATTTACAGAACATATGAAAACAGTACAATTTCCACATACCATATACCCAGCTTGCTTGCCAGTTGTTAACATTTTGCCACATTTATCATTCTCTCTCTGCATTTATACCTATGTATTTTAGAGTAAGTTGTAAGAAATCATGGTCCTTTTTCTCTTTAATAGTATTTTTCCCATCACCGATTATTCCCCCATCCCCTCTTCCACCTCCACTGCCTCCTTTCCCCCGCCCCGCACCGCCCCCGACAGGCTCCAGACTGTTGTCTGCACCCCCAACCCCTCTCCTGAGACAGCATGATCCCTTATCCCCTAAATTCTTCACGTGGTTTCCTAAGAACAGGAGCATTCTTTTACATGGTTGCAGTACAAGAGTTAAAATGAGGAAATTTAACATTGACGCAATACTACTCTATAATCTACAATCAGGTATATAGTCTTTATTTAAATAAAATTGCAATCATACCACATTATTATATATTCACTTTCCCAGTTAACGTCAAATCATGAATATTTTATGATTTTATGAAGTAGGCTTTGAAAACAGCCTTTAATGAAGTTATATGATGCTATTGTATGGCTCTTAATTTAAACCATTCTATATTCTAAAACTTAGTTATTTCCAATTTCCCCTAATGAATTGAAACGACCATCTTCATCATAACTCTTGACCAAATTTCTGATTCTTTTCCAAGACTCGATTCCTAGAAATAGCAGTGCTGAGTCAAACAATAAAAACGTTTTCCAGGCTCTTACTAAAGTGCCACCTAGAAAGCTTGCCCCCGTTTCCCAGGCTGTGCGGCCTGGTGGGCTCTCCGGGCGGAGGCGGCGGCAGCAGGTGGGGTGAGCGGCAGAGCCCAGCCTGCGGCCGCCTGCAGGCCAGCGGGCCTCCAGCAGCCCTGCACCTGGGAGCGGGACGAGAGGGGCCGACGCCAATCCTGCATCTGTCCTCTGGTTTTGTTTTGAACTACAACAGAGCACACAAATATAAAGAGTCTTTTATACTTTTTTTAAAATAGGAAGTGGAGAGCTTCATGGTAGAGGTGAAAAGCCGGCTCTCTTTTGAGTGGGGAAGACCGTCTCTCTTCTCCTTTGAGGCTGGCTCCCAGCGCTTAGTAGTTTGTCAGGAATTGGCTACGGAAATCCATTTAATGTCTTATTTTTAAAATATCAGTGAATTGCTTAAGCTAGGGTTATACATAGTAACCACTATTTATCAAACCCTCAGTGCGAGCGTTTCTGTCAAGCAGTTAGCACCGTGTTCGTCACGTGGCGACTGCTGCACACGCGGCACTTGGTCTTAATGGTATTAGCCCACTCGTTTCCAGGAACGTGACGGACATCATCGCATTCCCACCCCAGCCTGTGCTGTTAGAGAAGCTGAGGCTAAAGAGCTTGGTGGCTGGCCTGGTGTCACACAGGCAATGAGTGATGGCGCGAGGTGTGACTTCAGGTCTGTCCGCTTCCATGAGAGGGCTCTTTCCAGCAGACCTGAATCTCTAGGTTGGTTTTGGGCAGCCTAGGAACATACAGAGAAGCATGTGATGGGAAAAAGCAGCAAATATTACTGATGCAAATAATACCAATAGTAGTATGGGAAATCGAGGTAGCAGAAGTCTCTGCATAGAAATAAATAGTCTTATTTATCTGCTCCACTTGCTGCCTCCTCCACAAGCTTTGTGGCAGGGGACGCTCCTGATGGCTTTGAAGCCTGGACGACGCCTCTTGCATCCTCACGCCCTCTGCTTTGTCTCCCTGCCCTGTGTCCCTCCTGCCCCGCAGTGATCACCTCCTCCTCCACCCGCGAGTACACTGTGGCAGAGCCGACACGGGACAGTGCCGCCCCCTCCAGCGTCCACACTTACCAGTGGCGCCAGACCATCACCTTCCAGGGGTGCGTCCACGACAGCTCCAGGCTGGCCCCGCCCAGCACCCAGCAGCTCTCCGTGGACAGCGTGTTTGTCCTGTACAACCAGGAGGAGAGGATCCTGCGCTATGCTCTGAGCAACTCCATCGGGCCTGTGCGGGGTAAGAGATGGCAGCTTGGCCTGGACGCCGTGGACCTGCATGTCTGTCTCCGTGCTCTGTGACATACTGGTTTTTTTTTTGTGTGTTCCTTACTCTCAGTAAGAAGGAAATTACACAAGAATGTTTCTTAACAGAAAAAGAAACACCCCTATCTTGTAATCTGTGATTGTTAGAAAGCGTGCCCATCCGTGTTCGGCTAATCTGAGCCCTCCTCATCATTCTGTCTTGGGTGGAGGGGAGGGTGCTCAGCTGTGGGTTATCTTACAGAGCCCGCCGTCCAAGGCTGCGGCTGGCTTTGGCAGGGCTTTTAAAACACTCTAATACCCAACCCTGAAAGGAATGTGTGCTCAGGGCCTGAGGAAATCTAAATAAAACCTGATGAAAGCCAGGCACCGGGCTACCGCAGACTGCCCGGGGCGGCACATGGTGGGTGCTTCTGGCTGTGCAGAAGGAGCTGGCACTTGGGGAGCTACCTGACATCTGTGTCAGATTTCACACGGTCCCAGCCTTCACGCCCCAGGGGTTCTTCATGTTTGGGGTCCAGGCAGTAAAAGCCTTTCTCCTTTTCAGTTAATTTGGTTCTCCCGCTACACCCAGATCACTTCTCCAGCTGATCACATTTGTCTTTGTCTAGTTCCATGGAGCAGAAGGAGGGACGGTGTCTTCTCCCTCCTTTGACAACTGCAGCTTTAGACATCAGGGTTGGGCACTGTTTTTGCTCAATGGCCAGGTCGTAACTATTTTAGGCTTTGCCAACAGCCATCCAATGTCTGTCGCCGATCTCAGTACAAAAGCAGCCGTAGACTGAATGCAAGCAAATGGGTGCAGCGGTTTCCAGCGAAACTTGATTCACAGAACAGGCGTGGGCCGAGGGATGCGGTTTGCAACCCTGGGCGGCTGGTCCCCTGCCTGGAATTTTTGCCTCAAACATCACCATTGTATACCTAATTGGCCTTAAGGCGACATTCCCGCAAACCTCACTGTGCACCTAATTGGTCGTCCGGCAACGCTGTTGCAAAAAGAGGCAACCTGCCACATGCACTGCGGGGACCCGTGTGAACGTGGCAATGGCTTTGGGGTCCAAGCGAAAGGCTGCCTCTGAGCCTTCCCTTCCTCCGCGGGTCTTTCACGGCAAAAGAGAAGTTAAATAGCGGCGGTCTTAAAACGGTTAGCATTGTCCAGATGCCACGACTTTTGCCCCCGAGGTTGCTGGTTTCTCATTTGGACACAGGGCCTGGGGAGCAAGAGGGAGGTCCCCCGGCAGAGCCGGCCTGCCCCGCCCTGGGGACCAGCGTGCCTCAACCTGTGCACGTTCAGCTGTAGTCGCACAGTTTGTATTTCCTGATAGGTCTTTTTATTTAAGATGTCCTTAATGTCCCTCTCTTTTGCATTGTGATTTTGTCTTTTTATGGCAAATTGCCTTGTGGCCAGGGCCAGTCACGGGCATGCGGAGATGCTGGGTGGGGAGATGCGCCGGTGGAAGCGCTCCCCATCCCGGACCTGGACCCCCGGCGCTGCAGCCGGCCCTGCCTGCCCCTCGTGGGGGCGGACCCTGAGGGCGTGTCTGAGGACTCACCTGGGTACTGTCTCTGTCCTCACAGAAGGCTCCCCGGACGCCCTGCAGAACCCTTGCTACATCGGCACGCACGGGTGTGACACCAACGCAGCCTGTCGGCCAGGCCCCGGGAACCAGTTCACCTGCGAGTGCTCCATCGGCTTCCGGGGAGATGGGCGCACCTGCCACGGTACAGCTGCGGTTCTGACGGGGGTGGGGGAGGGGTCGGGCGTGGGGGGCCACATCGGGGTCCGAGTGCCGTGGGAGGGGTTGCTGCTCCTGAGGTAAGCACTGGGGCTCCACTTGGCGCCCCTCGGAACGGCGGGGCACCGTGCCCTTCCCGCTGGCCCAGGCCGCTGACTCGGAGCAGCAGAGTGGTGCCTGGAAGGCGCAGGCGAGGCAGGTGTAGGGGAAGCTCCAGGGGCGCAGTGCGGACCCGCGGAGAGGGAACTGTGGTAAAATACACATAATATAAAATTTGCCATTTAACCATTTTTAAGTGTGCAATTCAGCGGCATTATTCACCTTGTTGTGCAGCGGTTGCCACCACCCACCTCTAGAGCTCTGTTTGCAAAACTGAAGCTCTGTTCCCGTTAGACTACGTCCCATCCCCCCGCCCCCGCCCCTGCCAGCCTCCGTGCTACTTGCTATGAATTTGCCTATTCGAGGGACCTCATAGTTGTGGGATCATATAGTAATTGTCCTTTTGGAACATACTTATTTCACTCAGCATAACTTTGTCAAGGTTCGTCTGTGTTGGAGTATGTGTTATTTTTTGTTTCTTTGTTTTTTGATAGTGGCCAACCTACTGGGTGGGAAACCCACCCCTCTTTTTATAGACGCGAAAGCTGAGGCTCCTTAAAGGGAGCCCCTGACAGCATTGGAACTCAAGTCTGTGGCGCCAGTGTGTGCTGCGCCGTCTTCTTGTTGAACTTACAGTTTCATTTCAGATATTTTCACATAGACAGCCTGATATTGACATGTTTGTTATTAAATTGTAATCTGCTACCAAGGGGCACTGAGGTGATTCCTGACTCAATGAAGAGTCCAAACGCCAGAGGCAACTAGTGCGAGAACGCCAGGTACTTCAAGCAGTTCTACGTCAGCGGCACCAGAGGGTTCGCTAGTGAACACAAGGGACGCTGGGAGGAGGTTTCCCCAGTGAAGTGAGGGACGTACAGATGTATGTTTGGCCAGAGCCATGAGCAGCCCCCTTGTGTGACTGGGGTATAGAATCTGGGGAGCCCAGCAGCCTTGGAACTTGGGGACAGTGCAGTGCCGTAAGTCTGGAACCCCATGCCTCTAACCAGTGGTGAGCTTAGCATGCTGACTTAACGTGAAGGTTAGAGGGTGCTATGTTGCTGGGTTTGCATCAGAGTGAAACAGGAACAGTTGTTTAGCCAGCTTATTGGTAACTGTACCTGAGGGATGATTCGATCTGAGGCTTACCTTCCTTGTAGCATGCCACTGGGGAGGGGGTACAGTTCCTCCACCTCAGATCAGCGTTCCCCAATATTTCCCAAAGGTCCCGACAGGCTGCAGTGGCTGCAGAGGCTCAGGGCAGCTTGAGGCAGCACAATGCTGCGTGTGCGAGAGCAGGGCCCCCGGGGCCGGGAGGGTGGGGTGGGTGCCCTGCAGGGGCAGCGCCCTCATTTCTCCAGCTGGAGCGTACACCTCCTTAGTCTTTACGGAGCCCTGCCCCAACTTCGTCAGCCACCTGAGCAGCAGTGAAGCGCAGAGATGTCCTGCCCCCTGGCTGCTGCTAAACCCCAGCCTCTGCTGGTTCCACTCTCCGGGCCTGAGCTGGTGACGGGAGTGCTTGCTTCGTGTCACAAGGCACGACTGGCTGTGCTTGACGTGACCTGCCACTGTCCGAAAACCCTCTGGTGTCCTCACCCAACAAGACAGGTGGCCTGTGGGCACTTGCCTTTGCCCTGTGGTTAGTCCTCGTTCCGGCAGATTAGCACCGAGGAATGTGGGCTGACTCCCAGCCAGACCGCGCTTTGTTCTGGGTCACTAGAACATGCCTCAAAGCGTTAACGCACCGAGACACTAGGCCGTCGATAGGAAATTGCATTAAGCCAATCACTTCCTGTGTTATTTTGGCCTGGAGGGAGCCTGAGGGGAGGAGGAGTCTGGGCCCGTGGGACTCAGTGTGTGCGGCACTGAGAGGGTGACAGGGGACATCCGCGGGGCTGGTGGGGGTGTCTCCAGGGGAACTTGGGGAAGGTTTCCAGTTGAATCATAGGGCTCTGGTGCTTGGCAGAGCGGCTTCTGCGTATTTCTCACCTGGGCGTCTGCGGGGATAGTTCCGGATAATCTCTCGTGGAGTGCCTGGAGGGTGCACAGGCATTTAACAAGTCAACATGACATGGCTCCCGCAAACAGCCTGGGCTTTGGGAGGAACAAATCGGAGAAACTTAGAGCTGTTGAAAATATGTGAAAAGTAGCTACTCTGAAAAAAAACAACAACAAAAGCCAAAAAGGTAGCAGTCATTAATTACAAGAATAATCCAGGAGTTTCCTGTTGGACTAGAGAATGATTGATGTGAAAGGAAATCTCTTCCCGGAGAAGTGCTTGACCAGATACTGCAGAGTAACAATGACTGTCAAGCAGGTATTGTGGTGTTTTCTGAGGGACAGTTACCACCAACTCACTATTTCACTGGAGAAAGAATTAAAGTCCTGGCCTCAACTTGGAGAAGGGACCATTTAAATTAGATTTCAGGAAGAACTCCCAAACTGCAAGGACCATGAGACGTTGCGAGGGAAGTTGCCAGGTGTCGCCAGCTGGGGTCCCACGTGTAGACCTGCTGGAGGTGGAAGTGGTGCTTGGACCGCCCCCGCGGGTCCCACACCCTGCCTACCGGCAGTTCTGCGGGTGGACCATGAGGGTCGGGGGTCCCCTTTTTCAAAACGCACAAATTCGCTGTCCGTAAAGCTCCCTGGAGCGAATGGAGCTTGGACACGTTCCCGGGGTGATGTCCTGTTCTTTGGCAGTGGTGTCGAAGCCGTGGGGCCCTGCCATCTGCACACTGCGTCCAGACATCTGTGCCAGAGCATCCTGGGAGCTGTGGGGCAGGGACAGCGAAGCCAGAATGGGCCGTTCCTCCCCTGCTGGCTGCACAGCAGCTGGGAATGGGCTGTGGAGTCCCCACGCGGTGACTCCCCCCACCCTGCTCCTGCTGGCGGAAGCGGCCGCCCCGGGGCGGAGGGCTTGTCCCGTAACCTCCCCCCGGCTGTGCCCAGAGCTGACATCTTGCCTGAAATCTCGTGTCTGAACCATTTCACAGGAATATTCATTGCAGTGCATTTTCTTAAAGCTGAACACCGTTTGGTTTGAGTTTTTGCCTGGGTTTTAGGTCCCCTTGCAGGCAAAAGTACTTTCTATTTTGTTATATGCAGTGATGTGAAGAGGTTTAAAACAAGTTTTCATTTTTTTAAAATTCCCTGTAGATATCGACGAGTGCGCAGAACAGCCCTCGGCGTGCGGGAGCCACGCCGTCTGCAATAACCACCCGGGGACCTTCCGCTGCGAGTGCGAGCCGGGCTATCGGTTTTCGGAAGAGGGGACGTGTGTGGGTGAGTTCTCTAGGTCTGAGAGTCTCTACCTCTTTCTTCGTGGGGCACGTGTCCGTGCCTGTGGAGAGGTGTCACTGCAGGTGGCAGCGCTGGGTCCTGCCTTTGGGGGGCAGTTTCCAAAGCTGAATCCGACTTTGTCCCTCTCCTCCAACTCCCTGGGGACGCGCATGGACAAGGAATTAACCTGTTACTGTTCACACTAGTAGCCCCATCACCTCACCTGTTGCAAGCTTTGTATTATACTCCATTCTTACAGAGCGGTTTTTGATTCTTCTCACTGTTTTAACAGCTGCTAAAACAATGGGACTTGTTTCCCCTTAACTTCGTGGCCTTAGGGTGCACGTGGAGGGACTGCCTGACAGGCCCCGGTGCCATTTCCTGCCTTAGGCTGACTTCTTCCCGATTTACATCTCGCAGTCCATTCGGGCCGTTCTGCTGTTGGATTTCAATTTTACAAGCCACAGCAGTAACATAACTTCTTGGCCTTTATCACAGTCGATGAGTTGAGGCCATGAATTAGGCTAAGTGCTCCTTAGGTTGACGATGACTTGGTGATGATGATGATGCACCATCCACAAAGAACCAGATTGTTTGGCTTTTTCCACTGTTTCCTACTGCTGCCCTTTGAACCGTTGGTTCTAAGACTTTTAAGTTCAAAGATTCTTGGCTATTTCCAGTCTGGAGGGCAGCATGCTGAATGGGCCATCTGAATTCAGCATTTCTTCCCAATTTAAAACAGATTTCTCTTTTACGGCCTCTGTGACCCATCTCCTTGCCCTTCTTTGCTGTTTGCTCAACCCTGATGTGCTTGCTGTTTGCTCCGCCTTGACGCTCGGATGAGCTGCCGAGGTCACGGGGTGAGGTGGCGTCTTGAGGGCTGGAGGGAACAGGCAGTTCTCATATTTTGAGTATGACCCAAACATCTGTGAACTGAAAGAGGCCAGTCCCCTTTGCACAGAGTCGAGATTTCAGCTCTGCTAAACTTACATCTATCTTTAAAAAAAAAAAAGAGAACAACAATTTCTGTGTATTTGGCCTGATTTCCCTCTCTGCTGTTTTTTTTTTTAAGTCCTCCACCGAGGATATGTTTATTGATTTTAGAGAGAGAGGAAGGGAGGGAGGGAGAGAGAGGGAGAGACACATTGATGTGAGAAATATTGATCCGTTGAACCCGCAACTTAGCTATATGCCCGGACTGGGAGTAGAACCCACGACCTTTTGGTGTATGGGCTTATGCTCCAGCCAACTGAGCCACCTGGCCAAGATCCCCCTCTGCTTTTTGAGGTGGAGATTCAAAGGTTTGCTTTTCCTCGTAGCAACATTTGTATTACATTTTGGCTCAAACTTGGGTACTGGATCCTTTACCCCTTGTGTGCTGGGGTGCACGGTCCTGGGACAGGTGTGCGTGGGGCATGATGTCCCAAGTTTCTGGATCCAGCCATGCGGGCCGTGCACACTCACCGGAGGGCCAGGGTGGGTACAGATGTCTGTTCGTAGGCATTGGGTTTTGAGAAAGACACTTAACCTCTCTGGGCTTCAGGGCCTCGCCCGATTGGACTGGATCATGGGTTTCCTGTGTCCCCTGAGCCCTTGGAGCAGCCTCAGGAGCTGCCAGTGAGGCTACAAGGAGGCTGTGGGCAAAACCTCCTGGCCTCTGGCCCCAGCCTCTATGTTTCCATTTTTGTACATGTCCACTGAGTAAGATTTTGTTTGAATAATGGACCCAGTGGCTCAGAAACAAGTGTGAGAACCACCTGAAGGTCATGAAGTTCCACCACGACCCGGCACCGGGATGCCTCCCCATCGCCCTCTGCCTTCAGACCCCGTGCAGCTCCATCCTCTGGGCTCTCCCCGCTTTAGCCACTCCTTTGAGACGCACTGTGTTGGGGACATGGCTCCCGGGGTCCAACCAAGTCGGCCCCAATGTGGTGAAACACATGGCTCTGGCTGTTCACTGGGTAACTTGGTCAGTGCCGCCTCCCCCGGGACCTTCCCAAGGCGGCCTCCCGGCGGGAGGGCCAGGCCGGGGGGTTTCTTCTGGGTCAGTGCGGGTACGGGTGAGGAGGGTCTGGGCTGTTTGAGGAGCCGGCGCTGTGCCCTGCCAGCGTCGCCCCATGAGCGCTGGGGCTGCCAGCGGTCATTGCCTCTTCATTGGAACTCGTCCGGGAGGGCTGCCTGGCGACTTCCATACTTACCATTTTCTGTACACCTGTGGCTTTCTCTCTCCCCCTGGGTGAAAACTTCTCTAGCTAATTGGAGCATGCAAAGTGTGCTTGCATAACAGACAGGCCTCAGCCCCCCGTAAACCAGCTGTATGTGACAACATGGACACCGCTCTGTGCAGACGCAGGCCTGTGGTAGGTGGCCTGGCGCAGGGCATGCAGGGAAGCCGAGGTCCCCTGCGCGCTCACAGGGCACCTTCGTGGCGTGCGCAGCAGCACACGCCTGCGCACCCGGCAAGCCTGTCGGGGCCAGGCTGAGCCCTGCATCTCCCAGCCACCCTGCTCTCCCTCCCTCGCCTGTCGTGCTGTGGGGAGTTACTGTGAAGCGTTCATTTCTGTGACCTTAGCCTCAGTACGTAGGGGCCGAGCGAGAGTGCCCCCCCCAGAGCTCTCTACGCCCTGCCCGTCCTCTCGCTCTGGTACGTGACCCCTTTCCCCAGCCCCCCGCTCTGGCCCGTGCCCTCACTTCCCGGCCCACTGGGCCTATGGGTGTCTCAGGGGCCACCGTCAGGCGGGTGGCAGCATCTCAGGGCCAGCCGCCTGCTTTGCTCCTCCCCCGTCAGGTACAGTCCTAAAAACGTGAGACCCCAACGTACAATTTCATTGCGATTAATTTTTAATACCTATGTTGAGCCCCAATATCTCTCCTTTCCAAAACTTTTCCCTCCAGCCCCCCCGCCCCCCGTAGTGCCCCACTGGTGGGAGGGCGGGGGCAGAGTTGCAGGGAAATTGCCGCTCTGCAGGGTCAGGAGCTGGAGGACAGCCCGCGGGGCGCCCCGGTGTCCCCTCCCGTGTATTGGACCGCCTTTCGGTGGCTGCGGTGGCGCCGTCCCTCTTGTTGTGATGCGCAGCAACTGGGTTTTAAAATGGCTTGTCGTTGCGTGAACGTGACCAGGGAGACCACCCAGAGAGTCCGTCTGCGTGAGGACAAGGAGGCCCCCTGGGCTCCCAAGAGCCTGAGGAAAGACGTCCCTCGTCATTGATGGGAAACAGTGGCTGAAAAATGCCCTATTTGTTTTAAAAATGAAAAAGGCAGAAGTAAACTGTAAAGTTGACTTTTAAAGCTTATTTAAGAAAATTCCTTTGGCATGGAAAGTAGTCTTCCAGAAAGGAAAACGTGATTTAAAAAAATTAAGTTATAAATTGCCTTTTCCTATGAATGACTTGAGGCTCATGGAAACACACCCATGAAGAGAGTGACCGGGAAGGGGACCCCTGACCCCGACTGTCTGCAGTAGGGCCTCCTCCGCCCGCAAGGGTGGGGCCCGGGGAGGCTCTGAGCAAACCGAATGATGTCCTACAAGCTATAAACGACACGTATTTGCTGGAAGAGACAGAAAAGTGCAGGGAGGTCCATCTGCTGGTTATTTTCTGTCTGAACAGACCTTTCCGAGCTTTCTGGTCACAGTCCCTTGAGAGTGTTCCCTTTCCCACCGTGTGAGCTGAAGGAGTCGAGGGCGGGGCTGGGGACCCGGCGAGAGGAAAAGCATTAGAAATGACAGGAGGGGCAAGAGGAGAGTGGGGTCCAAGGACACAGGAGTGTGTCCTTGGACTGGTCGCTTTCCCTGGGTTCCTACTTTCCAGACAGGAGCTGGGACCACTTGTAGCAATTTAAAATCTAGTGACTTTTTGGTCCGTGGGGCATGGTGTGAAGGTGCTGGTCTCACAGGAGTTCACGACATCCTGGACTCAGGAGTCTGGGCTGCTGATGCGCAGGCCGGGCCTCCGCCTGCCAGTACTTGCTGACCTCTTGTGTGGCACAGACCTTTGAAGAGTGTCCCCCTTCTCACCTGTCTGCTGGCAGCACTCACCACTCTCTGCCTCGAAGTGCTGGAGGCAAGGCAAACAGGATTCATCTTGGGGAGACCCTCTGAGGAGCAAGACGGGGAGACCTCCTGGTGGATAATGCAGACACCGAGGCTTCCTTGGAGGGACGGAGAGGCTCCGCTCTGGCGGGCCCCCAGATGGGACTCTGTCCTGGGCCTTAGAGCTTTAAGACCAGCAGCTGACTGGCCACGGGAACCGCAGGGTACTGAACCAGCCACCGGAAACTTCCCCTTGCCCTCAGCCCATGGGCTCTCTTGCACGGCCAGAGCACGGATGGGGGTTGTTGGCGTGCCTCCGTGCCCCCCTGCTTCCTGAGCCCTCATGCCTGAGACGGCAGCAGACCTGTTTGCTTGGCCTCCCTGCTGCAAGGACTCTAGTTCCACAGAGGGGTTTACGCAAGGCCCTGCGGTGGACATGGCGCACACTCGCTGGAAACCCAGGGCCGCTGCCTCCAAAGGCCCAGGCTTTCTCACATGCATGCTCTCTGCCCCGGAGGTTCGTTTCTCCTCCCCTGCTGATAAATGGCCACCCTTGATTTGAGCATCCCTGGCGGCTGTTCCGCCTGCCCAGTGAGCCGCAGCTGAGCACCGTGCAGGAGCCTCGGGGCTTCAGCTCCAAACACTCCCCCAGCAGAGTGTGTGAACCTGCGGCATCCCTCCTCCACATGCAGAGGAGGGGGCGTGGGCTGAGACAGAGCCCTGGGGTGAGACTGCGCGTGAGACCCAGGCTGCGGGAGCGGCCCCGGTGTCGGTGTCGGTGTCGGTGTCGGTGTCGGCGTGCGAGGGCTGATCAGAGGGCGGGAGGCGGGGGAGCCGGGGGGCCAGCCCAGGGGGCAGGGAGTGAAGCTGGAGAGATGCCTGAAGGTCTGGGGATAAGGCAGCGTCCCCCGGTGGACAAAACCACCGGCGTGGAGGGCCCGGGAGGGGCGCTGGGCTGTCGCAGGGGCCGCCCTTCCAACACTGTGTGCCTTGTGTTTGAAGCTGTCGTGGACCAGCGCCCCATCAACTACTGCACCGCGGGCCTGCATGACTGCGACATACCCCAGCGGGCCCAGTGCATCTACACGGGAGGCGCCTCCTACACCTGCGTCTGTTTGCCAGGCTTCTCTGGGGACGGCCGGGCCTGCCAAGGTGCGTGGGGACTCCGATTTTTCTCTCTGCACAACCCGGGAAAATGCCTTACATGGGACTTAGGGACTTAGCTAATTTCCAAACCCCACCCCACCCCCGCCCCCCCTGAAAAAGAGCTGTTTGCGCAGCTCTGTTGGTAAATGAGCTGCATTTTTGTCTCTGTCTACTGGTCTGAACCATGCGTTTTCCTTTGGGGGCTGTTCTCATTGGGGAAGACACTGGTTGTCCCCCTATTCTTTGGGCCGTGTGACTTGCTTGTTCAGGCAACAGTTAGACACCTGCCGTCTGCTAGGAACTGAGGTGATTGTCTTTTACAAAAAGGAAAAGTATCCTCGCGTTCTTGGGGCTTGCAGTCCAGCCGTGCGGTTAGTAAGATGTGTGCCGTCGCACAGCTGGCGCGCCTTAACCGTCGCTCCGGAAGAAGTGCGGTCTCCGCATCGCGCAGGCGGGCGCAGAGCCAGCGATACGTATACGTGACTCCGCAGAGTCCCCGCAGACCCGAGACCTGTTCCCACGGGCTGCCGGGGTGCTCTGCGGGTGCTTCTAAGTGGGTGGCTGTCAACACAGTGCCCCAGTCCCTTGTTTTGCAAGGTTATTTTATACCACAAAGTATTTCTGAAGAGTCCAAGCTTTTCCAGGATAGATTATAATTTCTGAGAGACTGCCTCTTCGTTATTGAACATGCCCATTTTTTCTAGTCTTAGAGGTCTTTCTGTCAAGCTGTTAATAACCTGTCTGTAAGCCCTCAGACATTTTTGAAGCTCTCATTCATGATGAGAAGAATCATTTTATGATACAAAAGAATCCTTATTTCTATTTGCAAGCCTGATTTTTCATGAAAACATTATCATCCAAGTGAAACACATTTGTAAATGCACAAGATAGAAACTGGGGACTCAGTGTTTTGATAATTAACGTTGAGTGAATTCTAAATTGCTGTTCCCAGATCAGAAACAATCCACTAGAGTTGAGCAAGTGGCTTAAATTACTGCGTAAACTGTGAATTCCTGAAGCAATGTCATTGTCCCGGGCCGGGGGGGCTGTCTTGCAGACGTGGATGAATGCCAGCCAAGCCGATGTCACCCCGACGCCTTCTGCTACAACACTCCGGGCTCCTTCTCGTGCCAGTGCAAACCTGGGTACCAGGGAGACGGCTTCCGCTGCGTGCCTGGAGGTAAGGCGTGAGGGCCCTCGGAGCTGACAGAGCAGTGCCGTGTCCGTGAGCGCTGAGTGTGCGGCCGTGGCGGGGAGGTGAGGTGGGGAAGCGTGGGCTCCATGGGAGTCCTGAGGGCTGCGGAGGTAGGAGATCGGAGCGCGGCCACCGTGAACGGGCACAGGGGCACCAGACGCGGACCATCGTGGACCACGGCTGTACTCGCGGCTGAGGGGGTGGTCACCCTGGTGACCTGAGCCAGCAGTGTGGGTAAGAGCCTGTCTGTAGCAGCCAGCCTTCTCCAGAGAAGCAGGCAGAAGCAATAGGATATGTGTATAAATATATATATATATATTCATATGAAAGAGATTTATTTTGAGAAATTGGCTCACATGATTATGGAGGCTAGGGAGTCCCCAGATCTGCCGTCAGCCAGCTGGGGACTCGGGGGAGCCGATAGTCGCCCCAGAGTGGATGCAGGCAGGCTCGAGGCTCGAAAAGCCAGGGCCCTCGTCAGACTCAGAAGCAGGAAAAAGCACGCGTCCCCGTCATGAGGGAAGACCTCTTGCCGACCCGGGGAGGGCCAAGCTTTTTGTTCTGCTCTCGCTTTCTCCCGATCCGATGAGGCCCACCCCACGAGGAGTCTGCTTTACTCAGCCCGCGGAGTTAGCGATTAGTCTTGCCCAAAACACCCTCACAGAAGCATCCCAAACAGTGCTGGGCCGCATATCTGGGCTCTCTGTGGTCCAGTCAAGTGAGCACATAACATTAGCCCTCACAGGTTCCTAGCGTCACAGGGAAGAGAACTGGGCCGCGGTGAGGGCAGGGGCAAAGGGTCACCAGTGTGGGGAAGATGCAGGCTGGACCTCCACAGGGTCGTTCCTACGGCCAGTGACACCTGGACTGTGCGGCCCGTCAGGCTGCCTGCTGCCCCGAGGCCTGAGTGGGTCAGGAGCACAGGGGCAGCCCGAGGTCAGTGCCAGGACCTCTGGAGGCACCTGGCAGGTACTGCTGGATGAGCGAGTGGCATTGGCTGCCGTTTGTGTAGAACCTGCTATGTGCGCAGAGCTCTGTTTGCACAGACTGTTTCATGCACTGTTCACCATCATCTTTTTAAAGTGGGTACTAATACCATCTCCATTTATGCTGAAACTTACCAGATAAAGGCACAGTCGCGGTCCCGCAGGAAGGAAGGACTCAATCTGGACCCACCTGGGTGCTGTCCTCTGAGCACATGGGATCTGTCATGAGATTTACAATGTCTTTGCCACCCCAGGCTGGAGTTAGCCAGCCGTGTTAGTAATTATTTTTAATTACTGCTGCTGCTGTTGGCCAGATGTGTTTGTCTCTATAAATATTTCAGTAAGAGATAAGCGGAAAGTTCCGTTTTCCCTCTTTTTAAAGCAATTAAAGCTAAAACAATGTCTGACCCCTTTGCTAGCCCTGAGGACAGGGTGCATGCGCATTTTATTTTTATGCCCCAGTGTCTGGGGGAGCATGTCGCCCGTGGTGGGGCTCAGCCCTCAGGCGTTGTTGAAGAAATAAACGAATGCACCCATTTCCACCCCTAGAGCGGTGTGCATCCACACTCTCTGCAGGACTGGGTGCGATCAGTTTTTAGGACAGTTGCCCAACCAAAAAGAGAAAACTGTCAGATTAAGATTTAAATTTTGATGTATAATAATACATGTTGCTGGTCGAAATTGTTTTCTTTTCATTAGAATAGTGATCAGCAGACTACCACTCATAGGGCAAATCCCGCCCACCTCCTGTTTTTGTAACTGAAGCTTTATTGGAACACGGCGGTGCCCGTTAGTCTGTGTGTTGTCTGTGGCCGCTTTCGTTCTGCAAAGGCGGAGCCCAGTAGTTGTGGCAGAGTCTGTAAAGGCTGGCAGAGCCTAAGATATTCACCCCCCGGCCCTCGGCAGAAGAAGCTCGCCGACCCCCTGCCTAGATGAACCCAGGCAGGGCCAACCTTTGTTCCTGAAAATATCGGTAAAGACTGTAGTGCCGCCCATAGATTCTGATAGGCAAGTTACAGAGAGAAGGCTTCGTGATAATGTGAGTCAAGATGTTCTAGCTGCTGTTGAAAATGACTAGCATTCATTATTTCCTCAGGCTTGCTTCACATGTGCAGTTCCAAAAGAAGTAGCAGTTTGTTTTCTGTTTTGTTCTTTTTAACCTGACTCCTTGTCCCCCTGTAAGACTCTGTTGACTAAACAGAGAAACCCAGGCCCGCAGGCTGGGGTACAAAGAGGGGACAACAACAAAACCAGTGGCAGCTGCCTGCTAGGGTTGTATATATAAATAATCTTGTTCCCTTAAGAAAATGTGCATCGAGTTATATACTCAAGGGAGAATGTGCACTAGAAATACAGTATTGTTTGTAACCAAAAAATAAACATAAACAACTGTCAATGGGAGGAATGGACAGATGAGTTTTGGTATAATTCATACAATGAAATAATACACAACATTTAAAATGAGAGAACTAGAATTAATGGGTAAATCTCAAAAACGTATATATATATATATATATATATATATATATACTTGTATATATGCCTGTACAAGCACGTGAATGGGGGTGGGGAGAGAGAGAGAAAGAGAGAGAGAGAGAGAGAGAGAGAGAGAGTGTGTGTGTGTGTGTGTGTGTGTGTGTGTGTACTGAATTGCCCAATGAATTGTATTCCTGTGGATCATGGTCAGAAAGTTTGAAAGTCACCATATTATCTTTTGTCATGTAACAAATTATCCCCAAAGTTACCTTCAAACAATAAATGTTTATTGTCTCACAGTTTCTGTAGGTTAGGAACCCAGGAGCAGCTTAGGTGGGGGTCTTGCTCAGGGTCCCCCATGAGGTTGTTGTCAGGCATTAGCTAGAGCTGTGGTCTTCCCTGAGGTTCATCCGGGGCGAAAGGGCCCATGCGCCGACGGCCACCTCGGCTCCTTGCCGACTAGGGACTGGGGACATCAGTGACTAACAGCGCGGGCCTCTCCACAGGGCTGCCTAAGCGTCTGCGAGACCTGGCAGCCCGCTCCCTCCAGAGCAAGTGATGAGAGAGAGAAGACCCGAGATGGAAGCCGCAGTCTTTTCTAACCTAACCTTGGCATGACTGTGCTGTCACTTCTGCTGATACTATTAGTCACAGGCCGACCATCTAACAGTGTGAAAAGGAACTACATAAGCGTGAGAATACCAGGAGGTAGAGATTGGGGGCCGTCTGGGCAGTGGGTGACCATATGGCCGCTGGCCTCACCTGGGCGGTGTTGGGGAGTGTCACAACGAGGGCTGGGGGATGTGGGGAGCCTATGAGAGGGTCAAAGAGGAGGGTAAGGAGTCCTGGGCTAGGGATGGGGAGCCTGGCCCTGAAGGGCAGGTACCACGCCTGTGGGCCGTGATCTGCTCTCTTCACCCCTGGCAGCAGCACACAGGCACCGGCGCGCGCGCACCGGCACACACGCACCGGCACATGGCATCACCTCCTCAGTGCACATCTGCACAGAGACGGGGAGGGGAGTGAGCATCCAGCAAGTAGGGCTGCAGGAGGGAGGGACATTCAGGGCAGAAAACACAGTGTCTGTTGTCTGTGTTACAGTTCACACTTACTTCAAACAAACCCACTCTTAGAAAATTTGAATTTCCCAGTTAGAGCTGGAAGGGGCTCTAGAACCTCTGTAATTCATCTTCTTTGTTTTATAAATGAGGAACATAAGGCTTGAGAAATTTCTTAATTTTACAAAAAGATTTCTTGAACTCTTTATGTAAAAATGTTTTTAATAGAAATTTCCTCAAAATCAAGCCAGACCCTTTTAAGAGAAGAGCATGCCTCAGGCTTCCCGTGTTGGCTTAGATTATTTTTATTATGGGTAAATCCGAGGATCAACTTGTTTTATAACTATAAAATCAAAACACGTTTATAAATTAAATAAGATCACAAATCATAATTTTCCAGTCAGCCTTCATTTAATGTGCCAAATTGTTGCCCGAGACGAAGCGGGCGTCCCTGCCGCGGGCTCCGCAGCGTGGTCCCGGTCAGCCTGCCGGGAGGCGGTGACAGTCCTCACCTGAGCGGCCAGGCCCCTGCCCTGCCCCTTCTCTCGCTGCCGCCCCATTTCCGTCCTCGCCTCTGTAGTTTAATCCCTCAGAAGGGTCGTCTGCAGTCACTGCATCCACTTCCTTTTCTCACGTTCTCTTTTTTTTCCTGCCTTTTTATTATAAAATAAAACAGATACAGAAAGTCATATAGAACTAATGTACAGCTCAAGGAGTTATCCTAGAGTGACGCTGGTAACTACCACCCAGAGCAAAAAGTAGGACTTGGCCGACAGCCTCAGCAGCCCCTCTGGGTGCTTTGTCCTGGTCAGAGCCTCCCTCTCCCCCAAAGCTGTCGCCACCTTGACTTTTACAATAATCACTTCCCGGCATTTAATAGTTTATCACATGTGTGCATTCCTAGACACTAGAGATTGTGTGTTCCTGACTTTCCTGTCTGTAGTCCCCTCTTCCAGCCCTTCCTTTTCCTCGCATTTGGTGTATTGAGGAACCCATGACTCTGAGCCGTGGACTACCCCACGGGCTGGATTCGGCAGCCTGTGCGCTCGCTCACGGTGCTTTCGACGCGCCCTTCTGCTCTGAGGCCTACACACTCACAGCTGGCTCCGAGGGGCTTGATCAGATGCAGGTCCAGTCCTTTAGGCAGGACAGTAGGTGGTGCATTAACTTACTTCCAAAACACATAGAGCCTGCTTGTCTCACGCTTTGTGATGCTAGGAGCCACTTACGATTATGGCCTAGGCTGTTAATTTCTAGGGAGTTAATTTCTTAAGGGTGAGATTCTGCATCTGTTGGTTCTTGTTTACGGGTTGAAGTTGATGCACATTGCTTAGGCCCTTTCATTTCTACTGGGTGGGAAAAAACTTGATAGTCTAATCCCATTGACTGTTGTTAGTTGGAGAACTTAAGAAATGCTTCCCCGCATCTACCCCTGGTTGCCCAGTGGCATGTTTCATGAAGGAAA